GGATTAAAAGTATCATTTGTACGGTAAGTTTATAAGACAGTTTAAAACAAAGAGAGTAAAAACAATTTATTTAAATATGAAAAAAAGGGCATAAAAGACAGTCACACTAAGGGACTCTGTATAAAATGGTTGTAGCAATTGAGGGGCAACAGACTTGCTTCCTTAAATATCCATTTAATCTATATTTCCTGGCCACACTGCTCAGTTCCCAAAATGGATTCTAGTAATGACTGTTAGGGAAACACAGTGCACACACAAACACACACAGGTTAGTTTTTGATGTAGCAATGTCTCCTCCTGCACATCTTTGGGGCTGTTATTCCACTTGTAGGTACATTCTATAAAACATTTTGTTACAGCTATGCCTTGGCTTTAGATGCAGTAGAGCTGAGTTTCTAAGCTTTTTGGAGATAATCTGAGTGTCCTAATATTTTCATGAATTGTTTAATATCCTGACACTATCAATTACTTTATGTCTACTCATCTAGAGATCTGTCACTCTCCTTAATTTTAACTTTTAGTAGATGAGAAACAGCTTTGATAATGCAAACATTTCTTTTTCCCTGAATTTGTTGGTGAAACATGCACTTTTCACATCTCATTTTGCGTGCCTGTATATTTCATTCTTGAATAAGATTTATTCCCTACCTTGAAACAGGTCAGACTGAAATTGGGCCTTCTACCGCTAGACTGAAAAGACCTAGAATTCATCGACAGCACAGATACAACAATAGCCTTCATGGAATACAAAAACTCTAGTTCTCATAGGATATCCTTGACCTCAGTGATGAATCATGAGGGCGTAGAGGGTTGAGAAAAAAGTAGACACATCACTACTGTTTCTAACAAGATATCCCAAAGCTACTTCAGTTCCAGGAATTCTGTCTGCTCCTGTTTTTACTTCATTAGCAATTCAACATGTCTGATTTGCCCACACAATACTTTCAAGCTACTTTACCCATTTGACCTGGAACAAAGTGAAAGCACATTTTGCCCAGTTGAAAGGTCTCCTGGCAAGTTGGTTAGCAACAGGCTTGCCAGTCTGGGTTCTGTTAGCAAAGACTAAACACATTTCATTAGACAATTACTAGTGAACTGATTTCCTCTCTATGAAGTTGGGTTTTTGTTTTGTTTTGTTTTGTTTTTCTATATTCTTCAGCCATTCCCCCTCCCCCACCACCTGTTATTCAACTTTTTACTTGTAATTCTTGCCTCAACACGATTTCCAATTTCTTCACGGCAGACATTTCCACGTCTTTGTGGCTGTGATTAACGCAGTTTAATTGCCAAGAACAGGTACCGAGTAAAAGTTTATTTGAAGGAAAGAAAAGCGACACAGCAGTCTTACATCGTCCCTCGGCAGTTTAAAGTTGTGGCTAGATACGTATCAATTAAGGAATCAAGCTGAGGCATCTGCAAGTACCAATTTTACTGTAATGCTCTAAAATTTGGTCAGTTGGGGAAGTCTTTACTTGTAACAGTGTAAGTACACAACGGACAGGAGGGTTTTGCGAGAAAGGCAGGCGCTCTGCCCTGTTCTGCCCGTGACATGATGACGTAACAACGACTCCCAGAAACTGCCTGAGTTGCTCACGTCCCCAGCTCCCCGATGTGCACCTGGGCGCGGGACGCCGCAGGACGGAGGGAGAGCGCTCCTCGGTCCCGCTCCCCTGCGCACGGGCAGGCGAGGACCCGGGCGTCGTCACCCCCACGGGAGGGAGCAGAGAGAGACACCCGAAGAGGGCCTCGAGTCATCCGTGTCCCCGGGTGCCCTGCCTCTCCAGGATACCTGCGTAACTCGCAGCAGCCAAGCCCCACTACGTTTAAAAGTGTATTTGTGGTTGTCACGGTGCACACCGAAAAGCTCGCTCCGCACCCCCAGAGTGCGCGGGGCCTCTGAGCCTGGAAACAAGCCCCTCCCAGCGCAGCTGTCGCCGCCGCCTGCGGGCTCCTTTCACTTTCTCACGGCCAAGTCACCCAGAGGGGCGCCGCTGCTGCCACCGCCGCGGCGCCCGAGGACTC